CAAACACTTGCAGAGTATATGGTTTTTTTTTATTACAGAACATGGAAGAGAGCACAAACCTCAGCGCAAGCATGATGTTCCTTATTCTTAAAGTCCAAATTTTTAGCACGACAATGATCATATGCATGGATGAGCTCGTGGATAAGTACTTGAGTTACTTCGTCTTGAAATCTCAAATTGTTTGCACATATTTTAATCTGAAACCATATCCAAAACCATGACAAGTAACATGTCTTAGCTACATTCAAATCCTTTCCAGCATTCCAGCAATGACTAACCAAACTTTGGGTTTAACCTCTAAGGGTTTGTCTAGACCACAGAAAACGGTAGGAAAATGAAAACAAAAACAAAAACAAAATTTGGAAAGGGAGTTTATTTTCTTATTTTGGTATTACCTTTGAAATTCAAAAAAATGTTAAATATAATTATTTTTATTCACATATATTTAGATTTTCCTAGTCTTAAATTCTTAATATGATCAACATATTAAAATTTTCAGTCTTAATGTGATTGACATCAATTTGTTGATTTTTAGCCAGCATTTTATCCCATCACCGCAAAAAAAAACCATTTCAACCCTTCCAATTTTCCTCAATGTTTTCATTCATACTCCGTATGATCTTTGCCCAGTATTTTCCGGGACCCCAACAGAGCGAAGAGTAATGAACAGCTATGGGGAACAAAGTGGTAAGGGAGAGTGAGTTTACCCCTCCACCCTCGGGAACAAAAAAGCCGGAGGCAGGCTTATCGCAGTGGACAGCTTTGAAAAAATTACCAGCAACTCTGCATCCCACTTTCTCCAATTGCTCCCTCATGTACTTAACCTTTGAATCTGCAGTGCATTCACTAATACATATGATGTTACGCTAAATCCTACCAAAATGCATTAGATGATGGCTTACAAATAAAGAAACAGGAAGCAAAAATGATACCGAAATGCATTTTAACCTTGCAATCCCTTTTGGACCATGGCCTCGCCTTCCTCCACCGTGTGACCGCCTTTCGCACCAGTCCAAGCGGCAGCGCCAGCTGGTGGCTTGCTTTCCATTGCTGTTTCTCCGGTGACAAACCCTATATGCTAAAAAGAATAGAACTTTAGCTCCCTAAATAGACTATCAGCTCAATAACCGTTTTAATGTTTTATTAAAGACAAACATTGAAATTTGTATTTAAAATACAAACATTGAAATAAACACGGCCAAGATACAAGCATCAGTTGATGAAAAAGTGAAATTCTTACTAGTTTGGTCTACCAGCGGTCGCAGTAACTGGTTGCAGATTGCAGATACGAAGATGATGAAAGAAGGTATATGGTCTGAATGCCGGAAACGTAAACGTCGACGGAACCAACAGAAGCTTCTCGTGGACCGGGGTAACGGAAAACAAAAATCAGGATACTGGAATTGAACGATCTTTGAACGAGGGACTGGGGAGTTCTTGACAAATTGGGGAAAAGAGTTTAAGCAGCACAAATTATTTGGGTTTATGAAATTATATTATGACCTTAACTTAAAGAACCTCTATCTTAACACTTCGAATTAAAAAGATAGTGCAATCAAGTATTTCATGCCAACAATAATTTGTTTGCAAATTGCTAATATTGATTTCTTTTCATTGATTTGCTATATTAATCATTTATCACATACGTAGTATATTTTTTTTACCAACTATGATTATGAGCTATAATTCATATTTTTATTTTATTGGTCTTATTAGTTAATTTTTTTAATATACCAAATATGAAGTATTTAACATTTACTTTTGTACGCCGGATTCTGTACGTAATAATCAAAATTAATAAGGTTGTAGTTATGTCTCGTTGAATAGTCCATTTTAGCTACTTTTCATAATTCAAAAGAAGTATAACTTATTATTTATTTTATTATTAAAATATATGATAAATATTATTTATCCTTAATTCAACGTATTCAGTCGCTTCAAAATCAATTTCGACATATTTATCCGATTAAATCAATTCCATTATTGCCAAACGACCTTTATTTTGTGAGGACTAAAAAGTTGTTTATTTATAGTTAAAACTATTGTGTAGTTAATTATTCTAAATCTTCTATGTCTTTCAGCGCAAATGTTAGCGAACCGGATAAACAGAAGTGTTGTAGGATTCTTGGCATTTCACATGATGGTGGGCAGGCGAAACATCTGGGCCTGCTAGATTTGGTGGGGGGAAATAAAACAGCTATTCTTGGGTGTCTTCGGGACATGATTCATGCCAGAGTTAAAAGCTAGAATAATCAGTTTTTGTCTAGAGCTGGCAGAGCAATTTTATTGAAAAATGTGGTGCAGGTCATGCCCACCTATGCTATGAATGTTTTTCTGCAGCCAAAAGAGCTATGTGATGACATAGAAAAATTGATGAATGAGTTCTGGTGGCGCGGTTCCAAACTAGATCATAAAGGGTTGAGATGGAGGAGTTGGAACGGGTTATGCAAGCCGAAGGAAGTGGGAGATTTGGGGCTCAGAAGGTTAAGAGAATTTAATCTGGCTATGTTGGGCAAATAGGGTTGGTTAGTCACAGATGAGAGATGTCTTATGAGCCGAGTTCTCAAGGTTAGGTATTTTCATAACTCCAATTTTTTTAATGTTAATTTGGGAAAAAATCCTTCCTTTATCTGGAGAAGTATTTTTTAGACCAAGGGAATTCTAAAAAATAATATAAGAAGACGTGTTGGGAATGGTATTGAGGTCCAGGTCTGGGCGGATGCATGGTTGCCTGGGCAGGGATCTGGGAAAATTACTTCTACTCGGCCCACGGGTGTTAGGGATATGAATGTGGCGGCTCTTCGAGACATTACAGTGAAGAAGTGGAATACTGACAAGATTTCCTCTCTATTTAATTATGAGGATTGAAATTTAATCTGCAGTATACTGATCAGTTCACAAGACACGAAGGATGGGTATTGGTGGAAATGGGATAATAATGGCCTTTATTCAGTAAAAAGATGTTACCGATTGCTGATGGGCGAATTTTAGGCGAATGATTGGAGTGGTTGGAAGAATTTGTGGGATTATAAGGTTCCATCAAAATTTAAATTTTTTGTCTGGCAGGTTCTGGATGGAACGCTTCCGGTCATAGATAGCTTAAGAAAAAAAGGCGTGGATATCCAGGGAGGTTGCAAACTTTGTGATGAGCTATCTGAGTTTCTTGAGCATGCTATGATAGCGTGTCCTAAAGTCCAACCAGTTTGGAGGGAGGTTGGCGCCTATACGGGGTTCGAGCAAGGCTCGGTGGAGTCATGGGTAAAACAACAGCCAGACACCCTGGATTTAGATGAAAGAGACAAGTTTGTTGCTATTCTTTGGAGTATTTGGAAAAGAAGAAATACGGTGGCTGGGATGGGTGAGACCGAGGTCGGGGGCTATCAAAATAAATGTGGATGGAGCTGTCAATCAGGAAGGGCATAGAAGGGCGTGAGGCTGGATTGCTAGGGACGAATATGGTGACTTCATTAAGGTGGGAGGAGCTACCCACACGGCTGGTTGGACCGTAGTTGAGACAGGGGCTACGAGGGTTCATGATGCTCAGGTGACAGCAGTGGAGGCGGGCTGGCAGCAGGTAAAGGTCGAGAAGGATTGTGCAAGGAATAAAGAAGGGCGAGGGATCGACTTATTTACATCTTATTATTGATGATATTAGTAACATTCTTAAAAACAAATAGTAATTTTATTGTCTCTTTTTATAGACAGTCTGTGAATCGTGCTGCTCATCGCTAGCAAGGTTTCACGTTGGCATCTCAGATAAGAGGATTAATTATGATGATATTCCTCATTGAATTGCTAGCCTTTTGGCGAATGATTTGTTGATTTAATATATTATTCGGTTGGGAAAACCGTCAAATAGGTCCTCGAACTTTCATAAAAAAGCCAATTAAGTCCTTCTATAGGATGTTCTGTCCGGCCGTCACGATTTGGGGCGGTTCCCGATGGAGTTTTTTGATGAATATTTTTTAGCATCTTATTCATCAAGTCTAGTTTACTCATTCCAAATTTCAGCTAAATATTCTATCAGGAACACATTCAAATTAATTCTTGAAGATAACTGCGCATTTTTGCGTTCTCGAATTAATTTGAATGCTTTCCCAGTTGAATTTTTAGCTGAAATTTGGTATGAATAAACTAGACTTTATGAATAAGATGCTCAAAAAATTTCATCAAAAAATTTCACCGAGAACCGCCCCAAATCGCGATGGCCGGACAGAGTCTCCTATAGAAGGACTTAATTGACTTTTTCTGAAAGTTGGAGGACCTATTTGACAGTTTTCCCTATTCGGTTTGATGATAATTTTTTTTAATTGTAATTATATGTCTCTTTTTATTCTCAATAAAATAAATGCAGTCACATAAGACTATTATTGAGAGATTGTTTCTATAATTGAGATAATACGAGACTTATTGATAGTTATACAATTATATTATATTGTTGATGAAGTTGTACTTTTTATTGAACAAATTTAATAAGGAATATCAAACACCATAAATAAACAAATGAGATCATATGAAATTAGTTTAGATGATATTGCAAAGACCGAATCCGCACGAGTAGTTCAATTTATTGAGTGATGGAAAAGTCAGAACATTGATCAAGAATCAAAATCAACAATAGTGGTGTGAAGGTCACACCTACATTTGGTACTCACGAATACAAAATCTATTACTCCCTCCGTCCCCGAACGAAGTTCCTCATTTGACTTTCACACTTTTATTCAAGCAAACTTACCAGGGGGTAAATTTTACTGTTTTGACACTGTTTCGACAATGTTTGACACTGTTTTGCACTGTTTGACACTGTTTTGATGTAAATAACTTTCCATTTAAACAAATAAGAACTTAAATTAGAGACATCCAAATAAAGAAAGTGAGAACTTGTTTCGAATAAAGGAGTATCATTATCTTGTCAATCACGAGGTAGGGCCCTTGAACATTGGAAAAGACCGAACTATCACTCCAAGTCTCGAAGTGATAACACGTGCATGCAATAATTGCTTGCTTCTTGTTCATTTGACTCCGTATAAGTGAAGCCGTGGAAGGGCCCCTAAAATTGTTTTCTGTTTCTGCTCTGAAACGCAAAACAAACGGCCCCTACTGCTTCCAATTACTCACGCGTATCTCTATCTTCTGGAAAGTTGAAACTTGAAACCACCACCGTCTCTGCTGTATAGCTATCCGTATTCACACGAAGAAAAACAAAGTTTCTGCTAACAATCTATTCCAACATACCATCCGAGTGTCTTGCCGGATTTGTGGTTACAAGAGGAAGCGCCGGAAGATGTCGACTTCGGGGCCTAAGCTCGAAAGAATTCCTAGCATGAGGGAGAGAGTGGAGGACACTCTATATGCTCACAGAAATGAACTGGTTGCTCTTCTCTCCAGGTATGTGATCATATCAATTTCTAGATATCGATGAAATTCCTGTAAAAAGATTCAATTTTTGACCAAACCATGCATTTCTTTTTTTATCATCTTTTCTTCTTGACAGATTTGTGGCGCAGGGGAAGGGGATATTGCAACCGCACACCTTGATCGACGAGCTTAATAACGTCATCTGTGATGAAACTGCATGTATTAAGCTCAGTGATGGTCCATTCAGCGAAGTTCTGAAAGCTGCTCAGGTTTTAATATAGCTGGTCTTGCTTTCCTTACCCAAATAGTATGAACAATTCGTAGAAAATTGGATGGTTTTCAGAGGTTAATCTGTTACTAATCAATATTTCTAGCAGAAGCTGTATAATTGATTGAAGAGTTCTATTAATTTTAAACTGAGAACTGGGAGATTTATATATGACATTAGTAGAAGCACTTTGGGTAGGAAATGGGATAAGAATATTACTAAAAAATGAACAATAGATGAGCATAAGTACTCCTTCCCTTTTAAAAATGTAAGATACATTTGGGTTTGGCATGACCATAAGGTTTTAAAAAGGTATTGGTATATTTGGTGACCTAAAAGGAAGGAAAAGTAGGGTCCACTAAAAGTAAAATTTGGAGTTGTGAGTAAAATGACAATGTTATCAAAGTAAGTAGCTAGTGGAGTTCAAAGTTGGAAATTGTTCATACTCTTGGGGCAAGAAGTAAAGGAAAGTAAGCCTTTCGACTAAAATGGGACGGAGGGGGTACTTCATAAGTTTGTATATAATATTTCCTAATAAGGATGTAATATTTGCTAACAATTCGAACATCATGAGATGATGAGACCAATCTAATGGTAATAGTTAGTGGTAAAGATTAAAGAAGTATAATTGCTGAAAATTTGACAATTTCTAGGTAATTTTGTGCAATTGTTAAGCCACACAATGTTATTCTTGATTTGCTGTTTCACCTGGCAGAAACAAATCCATCATTTTTTTAGGTAAGTCACATGTTTATTGATTTCCATAAAATTTATCTTTCTCAATAGGAAGCCATAGTACTTCCTCCATTTGTTGCCTTATCTATCCGTCCGAGGCCAGGTGTTTGGGAGTTTGTGCGTGTCAATGTATATGACCTAAGTGTTGATCAGTTGACAGTTTCAGAGTATCTCAGGTTCAAGGAAGAACTTGTCAATGGGTATGTGTTTCCATTGTTTTGTTAGATACTATTCTTTGGTTTCCTTTCTTAATGAATACGGAGTAACTTTTAACATTCAATATCTTGTTTTTTTGCTGTGCCAGGAAAAATGATTCATTCACCCTTGAGCTTGATTTTGAGCCATTCAATGCATCAATACCGCGGCCCACCAAATCCTCTTCCATCGGAAACGGGGTTATATTCCTCAATAGACATCTTTCTTCAATCATGTTTCGCAACAAAGACTGTTTGGAGCCTTTACTTGATTTTCTTAGAGTACACATGCACAAAGGACATGTAAGTAGTGCATAATTACAATTTTCTTATCATTCAACTTTACATCCATTTTGGTGTATAACTTGCAGGTTCACTTTTCCCCTTGACTTGTCCTAATCCTATGTTAGAGTCAGAGTGCTCAGTTTGAGACAGTTTAAGGTTAACATTCCGATATTGTTTTGAATGAGTTCACACAGTTCAGTATGAGCTTAATTTTGAAATTAAATATAAATTATAACCCTGCTTGATTATGTATTTCAGGATTTTTTTGGCATGCTTAGTAATAATACCATACATCTTTTCTTATGTAATAGCATCATGGGGCGAGTGGCAGTGTTTTACATGGGGAATGGTTTTGATGGGTCAGTTTCATTACATTTAATGTTCTGATGTGATGGACAAAATTAATTAACATGATAATTGTTGATGCATCCATTGACAAATCGAAGAGACATCATTACTCTAGAAACTACTTTCTTTATTTCCTTGTGGTTGTACTTCTTCTAAAAAACAAGTTCTATCAATAATAAAATATAGGAAACTTCAATAATTTCATGCAAACACGTAGAGGCATTATTTTGAACCTGCTGTCCTTCGTGTCACAACCTTCAATTTAGAGCCTGAGAGAGTCTATTACTACGTAGTTATTAGTGGGTTTCATTCTGGATTTGCTCTTCAATCTATGCCCTACAAGGCACTGCATGTCAGCATAAGAAGTTTACAGATACTCACATTTCATATCTTCTGAATTATGTGACTTACTTTGAAGGTACTAATGGTAAATGACCGAATGACAAAAATTTCCCGCCTTGAGTCCTCATTGGCTAAGGCAGATGATTATCTTTCAAAGCTTCCACCAGAAACACCATATGCAGAGTTTGAATATGTGTGAGTGTTTTCAATAAATTTGATGATGTGTTAGATTTTCATGCTCTTTGCTTATGATGTAAAAGTCTTGATTATCAATGCATAAACTGTTTTACCCCAATCTTGCAGATTGCAGGAAATGGGTTTTGAGAGAGGTTGGGGTGATACTGCAGGACGGGTTAAAGACATGATGCACCTGCTGTCTGACATCCTTCAGGCTCCTGATCCATCAAATTTAGAAACATTTCTTGGTAGAATTCCTATGGTTTTCAATGTTGTCATTTTGTCAATTCATGGATACTTCGGTCAAGCAAATGTGCTGGGGTTGCCTGACACAGGTGGCCAGGTGGGAACACATAAACACACTTTTTAGTTTATTGCATTGCTATCTCTGTTTTCTATATTGGTTTTGTAAAATTTACGTGATGAACTAGGAGTGTTATCATGCTGTAAGAAAACTTAGTTGATATATGTATATACACAAATGTTCCTGTCCGGAATGCCGTCTAGTCACCTCCATTTGAGTTGCTTCCGAGTGGAATTTTTTGATGAAATTCTGTGAACATGTTCTTCATGAAGTATAGATTATGTCCACCAAATTTCAGCTTCCAATTCAATCCGGAAGTCAGTTAAATAAATTATTGAAAAACACTACGTTTTATATATATCAATCAGGAAGTCAGTTAAATAAATAATTTATCTTAACTGACTTCCCGATTTCATTTTAAGCTGAAATTTGGTCAACATAATTTTAATCTACACTTCATGAAACTTCATGAAGAACATGCTCACAAAAATTCATTAAAAAAATCCACTCGGAAACACCTCAAATGGAGGTGCCGGACAAGGTTCTGGCCAGGAATGGAAGATTACTCTATATAGAGTATATACATGCTCCCTCTGTCCCATTAAAGGTGTATGTTTTCTTTTCCATCTTCTTCCTTCCTTTTATGGAATGCATTGTGGTTCATATTATCTCTCCGCTAAATAAATCTTAACGACATAGTTTTACTTTTCTTCATAAGCGTGTGGAGTGAAACGAGGAACCTTGATTTAGGATGGAGGTAGTATATTTTATCGAGCCATAGTAAGCTCCATCACCTTCAGTCAAACCATCTTTTCAATATTTTGTTGTTGATATGCAGGTCGTGTATATACTGGATCAAGTACGTGCCCTGGAGACTGAGATGCTTCAAAGAATAAAGCAGCAAGGACTTAATATCAAGCCTAAAATACTTATCGTAAGTGATACATCTATGCAAAACAGACTTTACTGTCATGACTTGTCTAAAATTCTATCTCTATGAAGGCATTCTGATTGGAGATTTTATGTTTCCCTTCCCTGCTCATGAAATAGGTTACACGTTTGATACCTGATGCGAAAGGAACTTCTTGCAACCAGCGTATGGAGAAAGTAAGTGGAACTGAGCATTCACATATTTTGAGGGTCCCTTTTCGAACGGATAACGGGGTTCTTCGCAAATGGATATCAAGGTTTGATGTGTGGCCTTACCTGGAAAGATATGCTGAGGTGAGGCTGAACTGACTGCTGAGACAGTATTTTTTGACCCCGTATAATTGGTTCACTCTATATGGATCAAAGGTTAATTCAATGGATTGTTGGGTGGCTTTTATTGATTATTCTATTAGGATGCTGCAAGTGAAATATCTGCTGAGATGCAAGGTGTACCCGATCTGATTATCGGAAACTACAGTGATGGAAATCTAGTTGCATCCTTGTTATCCCATAAGTTGGGGGTGACACAGGTTAAAGTTTAACTGTACATTTTAGTTTCTTGCTTGTTATAATAAGTCTTGAGATCTATATTATCTGCCTATGATCTTTAAACCTGGTTTTTGGCTGAGATTAAAGTCCTGAGATAGTATATGCTGATGAACGTTTTCACCTGTTTTCTGAATTACCAGTGCACTATTGCGCATGCATTGGAGAAAACCAAATACCCGGACTCTGATATATATTGGAAACAATTTGAGGAAAAATATCATTTTTCATGCCAATTTACGGCTGATTTATTGGCGATGAATACTTCAGATTTCATAATTACCAGCACATACCAAGAGATTGCTGGGACGTAAGTTTCCTTCATTTTACATTTAAATCAAATTATTATTCATAATTTACATCGTTCATACATATCCTCTTCAATTGTAGTATTCAGTTCAAATACTTTGATGCAATGCTGTTCCAACACTTGTGGAAGCCTAAAGCTAACTCTATAGTAACTCTATGGTGGAGAATGGATTACTAACTAATAAAAAATTGTTTTTAGCTTAAGGTAAGGCTAAAAATAAAAGTTTGAGCAAGTTAGTTAAATCTACTTCCCTACCTATTTTGTTAGATAAACTTTCTTTTGAGTTGTCCCAAAACTATGAGCACTTTTCTAAATTACTTCACTAATATTCTACTTTCTCACTTCATCCCTTTATCTATCGTTTCACCTTTTTACTTTTGTAGACTCAATCCTTCTTTTTGTTACTTTTTGGATGTTAGAATTGTAAAAAAACAACTTTATCCTCTATTTTCTTAAAACTCGTTCCAAACCCAAATGTAGCTTACTTTATGGAGTATAAAGTTAGTAAAAAAATTAAGAATCCCCCCCCCGTCCCTCTATTTTTTTCCCATTTTACCTTTTTCGTCCGTCTCACTAAGATTGTCCCATAACATTTTGGTAATATTTGGTTCATTGTAATTCATTCTCACTTCATTCACATTTTACCAATTTAATATTTTATTATTAACCACATAATTCCACTTTTCTCAATAATCACACCACTCCCTCTTGTCCTAATCTTAGGGGGATGGAGGTAGTATATCTTTGGAGTTAATTTATTGTTTAGATTTAGTAGTAGTTGTTAAATCAACTAGATGGTGACTGAAGGATATATTGATAGAGTAGTAGAACTCCAGAACTCTTTAACTAGTTAAAGATTGGCATCTTTTAACTAATAGAGCCCGATATCGATCTCAGAGAAATGAATGTTCCATGAGGAGAACTAAGAGTGGATTGAGCAGAACTAACACAAATCATAATGAAGAGAAAAACCTAGGAGAATTTCATAACTGAGGAAATCTAAAATGTGCAATTTTGGTTGCTTAGAAGTTAGAATACTCGGAGTCCTTATTAATGTTTTGTGACTTTTGTCTATACTAGATGCTTTTTTTTGTGTGTGTGTGTGTGTGTGCACGGAGGCCTTAAGCTAGAGATTTGGTGGCTTGAGCCGCTTGACCCTTAGTTTCTGCTTTGCTCTGATGTTTCATCACTATCATGTATGCATATTGTTTGGGGCAATGGAATAGTTGCAGTTAAAACAACTGATGAAGCTTTTCTCAATATTCCCATAGTTTCTTTTCTTTGTCTAAACTTTTAGAGTCTTTTCTTTCATGTTGATTGGCTTACTCTCATTCCGAGAACCCATTTGATTTCAGGAAGAACACAGTTGGTCAGTATGAGAGCCACACGTCTTTCACCTTACCAGGCTTATACCGAGTTGTTCATGGGATTAATGTTTTTGATCCCAAATTTAATATAGTTTCTCCAGGAGCAGATGACACTATTTACTTCTCGTACTCTGAGAAGGATAAGCGGTTGACGTCCTTTCATGGCTCAATTGAAAAGATGATATATGGTACTGAGCAGAATGATGATCATATGTATGTTGACATTTATCCTCTGTTTTATATTCATGGTCTCCATTGGTTCTCAAAATATTTTAATCATGGATCTAGGTTGAGGTTAGCTATGTTTGTACAAACTTTAGGGGCTGACGTGCTGTTTCATTAGTTTGGGGTGGTAGGGGGTGGGGGGCAAAAGTATAAAGACTAGGGAGAACCCTTTTTATTTGGATCATAGAAATATGGAAATAAAAAATGAGTAATTTTAAACCTCTTTCATCATATATTCAGAATAAAAAAAATAAAAAAATGAGTTCGAGCAAACATGCAAACCTTTTAAATGAGTTTGATTGATCCAATCTTTTACTTTCCTCCACATTTTATTTCCTTCCTTTTTTCCTTTGTTTTCCAACATATTTTATTTCCCTACTATTTTCCAAGTTCCAAACAGACCCTAAGGTTTTGGTAGGCCAAATTCCATTGGATGCTTGATCAGTCTGTATCAGTTTATATGGGCTATCATGCACATAAATATATTCTACACATTAATTAGCGATGGACATAAGCTTTTTGCCTCAAGACTAGTAATATATATAAAAAGGGAAGAAACACAAAGAGGGTGGGGTGGGGGTCGGGATACAGTTGCTGACCGCTTGTTGCATCAACAGCGGCACACTGAGTGATCCATCAAAGCCCATAATTTTCTCCATGGCAAGGCTTGATCGAGTTAAGAACATTACGGGGCTAGTAGAGTGCTACGCTAAGAATGCAAAGCTTAGAGAATTGGCAAGCCTTGTTGTTGTTGCTGGCTACAATGATGTAAAGAAGTCGAGTGACCGAGAAGAAATAGAAGAAATTGAGAAGATGCATGCTCTTATGAAGCAATACAGTTTGGATGGGCATTTAAGATGGATATCTGCCCAAACAAACCGAGCACGTAACGGCGAGCTTTATAGATACATAGCTGATAAGAGGGGAATCTTTGTACAGGTATCATGTTCTGTGATTGTTCATTTATTCATTTAAGGTCAGTTTTGTTGTAAGAATAGGTTTTGGAGGATTAAGTCTATATATTGATAATCATTTTAGGTTTTTATAAATTTGAGGGGATAACTTAATATTTGATCATAAAACATTTCATTAACATTTTATTCGTTTTGTAGAAACATTGTGCGTAGTATCTCTTATGATGACTAGTCCCCCCAAAACCATCCATCCAAATTTAGACCCCTAGTAAACAATGCCCGTGATGAACTTGACAATAGTTTTTCCTCTTCCCTATATATAGCCTGCTTTTTATGAAGCTTTTGGATTGACTGTGGTGGAATCAATGACTTGTGGTCTTCCGACATTTGCAACAACCCATGGTGGCCCCATGGAGATTATTGAAGATGGTGTTTCAGGGTTCCATATTGATCCTTATCATCCTGAACAAGCTTCTGAACTCATGAGTAACTTCTTTCAAACATGCAATGAAAATCCTGAATTCTGGTTTAAAATCTCTGAAGCAGGTCTTCAGAGGATAAAAGAAAGGTGTGTTTGTATACAAAAGACCAGACATTCCCGTTCTTCTTTACACAGATTTAGACATCAGCATTTCTTTTCCTGCAATAGGTATACATGGAAGATTTACTCGGAGAGGCTGATGGCTTTAGCTGGAGTTTATGGCTTCTGGAAGTATGTTTCGAAACTTGGGAGGAGTGAAATAAGGCGATACCTAGAGATGTTCTACATTCTCAAATACCGCGAATTGGTGAGATAATTTGTCTCATTATTGGTCAATATCCAAATTCTCTATAATTATAAACTTACTAGTTTATTCCTTCAGTTATACACTTTTAATTAATGTTGGTTATACTTTAGCCTCGTTAATTTTTGCAAACAATCTCCTTTAATCATTTTTTATTATATATATATATATTCTTTTGATTCTTTTTATCGTATCATTTTATCTCTATCTTATAATTATCTTTCTCTCTATTGTCTCTTTATATTATCATACCTTATCTTTGTTTTCCTTTTCGCTCTGATATACATGTTCCGATTCATGTTAGCCGACCCCAAAATCTTTTGGGACTAAAGCTTGGATGTTGTTGTAATCATCTTTGGTTGTATGCCTTGGTAGTGGTTTACCATAACAGCTGGAGACCATAACAGCTGACTTTTGTGAAAGAACAAAAATGATAGCCTATGATTTCTCGAGTTACATTAGGAGGTGTACTAAAATAGGAATTGACGCCCTCTGTCCAATTCTTGCTATTTCATTGGTGTGCCAGTGTGCCACTTCATAAGGTTTTGGTTAAGGAATAATGCCTTGGTTCTTTAATTATTAGGTGCAATACTTTGACTTTTGCACTATTCAGGCTCTACTTTGAGTTTATTTTATTAATTAATACAACAACCACATTATCCCAGTGCCGCAAAGGCTCTCACTTACGGTGGGGTAAGGGGGTCGGATGTACGTAGCCTTACCCTTGTACTAAAGCACAAAGAAAATATTTCCAGATCATTTTACTAATCAATATATTAACAAATTATTTCATGAATTTTTTTGTTAAGTTTGTCTCACTGTAAATGTTCACATACAGTTTTAAATATAGTAATGTCAAACTCATTTCTGAAAGTTAAACTTTGGAACTTAATAATCATGGGGAAGTATAATTGTGATAGTATTAATATTAGTATTAATTGATTAATGAACATCAACCATTGAAGATGTGTGGTGCAAAAAAAGAGATATAGATGTAGAAAAGTTGCAATATTTAAATTCCTTAAATCAGCACGTCACGCCTAATTATTTTCTTGATAAAAAGTTTATGAATTGCCTCCTGCTTTCAGGTTAAATCTGTTCCCCTTTCAGTTGATGATCAGTGAAAAGATTGGTGGAGGGGAGTATGATGTTATATAGATAGTATATGGTATGGATCGAGTAGAAGTTAGCCAGAATAATGGATGCTCCCCGTCAACGTGTTTAAGATGCAGGTAAGTAGTTTGCTGATCTAAATTTGTGCCCCGTTTGGATGAGATGCATGCAGCTCAAGCGTAGTAGTAGTTGTGTGGTGTACATTATCCTGCCACTGTACTCCAGAAATATGTCACATATGTTCACATATGTTCATGTTAATAAGATGGTGCGAGTATCTACTCTATTTCCCTTGTGCTGTTTGTATTTGCATTTTCTGTTTCCTCCAAATAAGATGCATTCAACCTTGGCTTATGCGTAGTACTACGTATATTATTGGCTTGGACTGCACACAAGATATATATACTTACTTACATAGGCCAGCTCATATCAAATATACTCCGTACCATAGCATTAACTTGCTTAGTAACAGATTTAGCCGATTCAACCAATGATTCAAATACTCCGCATGTTTTTAGAGCGTTGAAGTTGTAGGAATACAACCTTGAACTTGACTCGTCAGTTCAATCAAGTCGCTCACCAAATGACATGTGTGTTGTGGCTCACCTTCTCTGGGTCAATTGGAGTACTAGACTAGGATATCTAGTTTCTAAGTTTGGGTATATCCTTTTCAGCAGCTTGGTTTGATTGAAACTGTGATGTGTTATTTGGTTGGTATTGTGTTTTTAAGTAAACCAAAAGTTATTTATGATGTTTCTTGTGTTCACAATAAAAAAAATGTCACTTTTGGCAATTTGGCTATCAGATAGGCTTTACTTCCTGCGTTCATCAAGTGTGCTCCGGATACAAGAAAAGGCATTATACAGCTTGTTGAGGGTTGCCTAATTTTTAATCTGTTGAAACTAGTGAAATCCTGGTTGAAGCGGACGAATGAATTGATTAAATATGTTTAATTATGAAAAATTGTACTCTAAGTCTCTAAACATAATCAATTTTCGTTATTTAGTCATCCCAACAAATATTTCATTTTCATTAAAATAATTAATATGCGATTAAAGTAATTTTTCTCTTGTCTACATAAATTTTATGGAGTATTATTTACTTTATTATTTGGCGTGTACATTGACTTTAGTCAAGTTTTGTGAGACAGGGTACTTAAAATGCTCGGCACATTCTATTAATAAAATAAAGAAAAAGTATGAAATACATTAAAAAAAAATGGTCATAAGTTATGTTGGTAGTAAGATGAAAATACATTAAAAAAAAAATACATTCTAAGCAAATGAAGCTATAAAGTAAAATGAAATTTACTTATTCTGATTATTATAAATTTTAACGCATTAAATTAGTAGTAGTATGTTTGGTAAAATAAATTGACTAATAGGTGGAAAGTATAGGTTATCAAAGAGGCTGTAAATTTAGAATTTTGAAACACCAAATGATGACACAATTATATGTTGTGTCAAAATATACACTGGATAGCTCTTAAAAGGATCTTAAATTTTGAAAACAACTCCCAAAGATAGCGTACCAAACTTGAATGAGAACTTTGGGGAGTTATTAAAGGAGTGTTTGTGTTTGCTTAAAAAAAGCACTTTTCAGCTTTTGGCTTAAAAAAAGTTGAAAAGAGTGTTTTCAAATGACAGCTTCTGCTTAAATTAATCAGTTAAAAGCTAAAAGCTGGAAGCAGGTAGAAGGGTGCTTTAAACTGCTTCTCACCTTTTCTATTACACAAAAAGTACTTATTTTACCAAACACTACCAACTTTTACTTTTCCAGAATCACTTTTTTCTCAAACACTACCAACTTTTACTATTAATCACTTTTCCCAAAATCACTTTAAAAAATCACTTTTTTAAAGTTGAAGCAATTGCAAACACTCCCTAAATTATAATCCCTCCCTATGTCCCATGACATTTTCCTTTTTTGAAACGTTTCATTTACTTCTTTAGGTTTCTTTTTTAGGTAACTCCTTTTATATTAAATGTATTAACTATTTTTCACTACTCACATACTTTTTACATTTCATTGAATAGCATTAATTCCAGGGACGGATTTAGGGGGCGGGGGCGACTGCTCCCCTTGGACTTTCAAAATTTTCTACTATACATGTAATATTTCCATAAAATTTTCAAATTTTAATGAGATTTATATGTTTTCACCTGCCTTATCTTTTAGCATAAGGTAATTGGAATTTAGTAGAAGGAAAATCTAACATGATTTACATAATTTAAAAAAATAACAATGGAACAAATCATTGTTTAAGACTTAGGATATCTGTTATATCAAAATTGTTAGTTTTGTAATTTTAATTATCTTTATTAGATCATTAGTACTCAATTTTCTAAAATATCAACGATATAAAATATCAGACACAATAGTTAAACAGTTTTTAGATCATCTAAAGTGAATCCAAAATATTAAATATCTACGATAATTTAGATCATCTAAATTACACAATTAATTTATTTCTTTGTAAAAACAATTTGATGAATAGAAATAAACTTTAACTTATTTTTGCATTAAATACAATATGCACCATGTATATATGAATTAACAATCCTATGTAGCATATTATTCTAAAAGTAATAATCACATACATATTATTGTAATATTAACAAAACTTCTCATGATCCACGAATACCTCCTTCGTAAACAAAGCTGAAGTTATAAAAAAGCATTGGTTTATGTGTACCTTTTAAATTCTTTACTTTCTTATTTTGATAAAATGTTATCAAATAATTTGAAAAAATGATATATCCTTTCTTATTTTCAAATAATTTTCTAGAGCACTTACAATTATTACATCAAATTTATATTTCCATTGTCTAAAATTAGAATGTAATATCATATATTTAAATGTCATCGTGTATTTACTCATGAAATTTTTTGAACAAAAATTAGCTAGAGTCCTACACTAGCGGAAAAAAAATTCGGCATGCTACACTAGTGGAAAAATTTTCACCACCTACAGTAATGAAAAATTTTCGCCTCCCTTGATTCAAAATCCCGGATCTGTCCCTGATTAATTCTCCCAAAAAGTCAAAGGACATGCAAGACATTTGTTCTTCTATTAATTGAGCTCCTAAAATATCATGTCAAAAGCAAACGTCAAATTCTCTCAAGTTCTATTCGGGAGGGAGTACAAAAATTAGAAAGTAGTCATGTATAACCTTTAAACATGTCTTAAGAATTATTGCACACCTTCATGAAATAGTGACATTTAATTATGATTTTTCACATCACCAGAAGCTTGGTTAGAGAGTAAAATTAACTACATCCGGAACAGAAGTAAACTCGGATTTAGTAAAAATTTAGTGAACCGCATAAAAGTTTGTTTAGAATGATTTAAGTTATATACTCACTCCGTCCCATAAGGAAGTTCTCGTTAAATTTACGATGCTTGACTAACGATAAAGCAACTCAGTCATAAAAAGTTCCCGATTTTTTTAGTAAATAAAATTTACATATTCAGAAAATACATTAAAACTGCTACAAACCTGATCAAGAAAAAATAAATTTGATATAAATTTGATATATAAAGTAAAAGATTGAGAGTGATTTAAGTTGACCAATGAATATTGAACGTGAACTTTACAGGACGGAGGTAGTACATGTTAAATTCCTTGTACAAAGAGTTTTTGCTTGTGAAAATCTCTAATTTGGAGTCTTAAAGCTAGGTTATGGGATATTTTGCAAGTTATTAGGGAAACCTAACTTCATTAAATCTAAGTTCTAAGTTCTAAAAGGTGTCATAAAATTACTTACAGACTATCATGATAACATTTAGTTAAACTTATGGACGCATCTTTTAATGTAGAAATGGAAAATAGGTTGACGCGGCCCCGAACCGATTAGTACCGAGTGAACGAGTGCTGATATCGATTAAAATGAATAATAATGAGTTTTTAGAGTGTGATATAAATTTGTGTCTCGAATCACAATTCAAGAGGGTTATTACTTAAATATATACTTCGTATATAGAGAGTAATGTTCTGGTGGGGAATTTTCTGGTCGGAACGTCATCTGTCATCTGGTCACCTCAATTTGAGATGCTTGTGGGTGGATTTTTTGGTGAAATGTAGATTATGTCTTCCACATTCTTATACATCACTCTTATTTTTAATAAAGTAAAGATTTCATGATTGAATTTTGTGCAGAGATAAGTTAAAAATAAGAAGTTAAAACTACAACGTTCCAAGTACTTCGTATTACTTAATACGGAGTAATTACTTAGTTAATTGGAACTCTTTTGGTTGAATACCATATAATTTGCCACTATGTATGTAGTAACTAATTGAGGGAGGGTGAGAGTGTTCTTGAGAGAGAATTAGTGTGCTGGTAGTCTGGTAAATACACGATCTTCTTGATTTTTTTTTTGTATGATATGAGAATCTTCTTAATTAACGTATGTAGGCATGAAGTTAGAACCTACCACAAAAACATGCCGCTTGCCGGAAGCCAACAACTTAGAGCATCTCTAATGTTATAATGTGCACGGTGCACATGTGGCATGAATTATAGCCACATAAATATTAGCAAATAAATTATCTCTCTTAATTTGAGTGATTTTATACAATTTTGGTAAGTTTTTTCCTGCAATGTCAACAACAATGTCAACATCTAGACAGTCTCCTTGACATTGTAGAGAAAAACTTACCAAAACTGTATAAAATCATTCTAATAAGGAGAGAAAGAATTTATTTATTACGGAGTAATATTTATGTGGCTATTTCTCATGCCACGTGTGCACCGTGCACATTTTTACCATTGGAGATGCTCTTAGAGCATCTCCAATGCTAAAACGTTAATGGTGCATACGTGGCATGGAAAATAACCAATTAAAAAACAATAAATACAATATCTCTCTCCTTATTTAAAGGATCTTACATCATTTTGGTAAGTTTTTGTTCACAATGGCAAGCACAATGTCTAGATGTAGACATTGTGATTGACATTGCAGACAAAAACTTACCATAAACACATAAGACCGTGGAAAGAAGGAGAAAAATATTGTATTTATTGTTTTTTAATTGGTTAGTTCTCATGCCACGTATGCACCGTTAACGTTAGTAGATATACGGAGTACTTAACTAATTGATAGAGATGTCAATTAAGGATAGATTCGAATTCAATTCCTAATAATCAAGTGAAATGGACAAATGGTGAATGAGTCAGTAAATTGTACGTAGTAACAAGTGTAAAATTCACTCTATGATACTTGAATTGTGATTAGCAATTAATATACACCACTCTCAATATATTTTTTCTGGAAAATTCCCTTTTTGCACGTCGGTCAAATGACATTTTATAAAGAAAATTGATTTGCATACAGACTAAAATAAAAAAATTGTCTGTATCACACACATTTTAAAATTATCGTTTAACATTGTCTGTATCACATATATTTATGAAAAAATCTCATCTAAAATATACATGATATAGATAACTTTTTATATTTTGTCTGTAGACCAAAGCGGGACTTTTTTTTTTTTTCTCTTTTGGTACAACATTGTAGTTCAGGCCTTCAGTGTAAGTGTGTAACGTGTTCCACTACAGTAGAGGCAGACTGGTGCACACAACGGATTGGAGAGTACATTATTAACAAAGAACCTTTTGACCATGTGAAGCAGGAGGAGCAACTCCCAAAGCCTCAGACATACGGAGTACTTCACTGTTCTCACCTCACATGATTTTTGCACCAACGGTCAAAATGTTGGGCTCCACCCTCAACGCCAGCTCACACTTCCTGGCCCCACGTAGTGTTTTAATAATTCTTTTATCACTTTTTAGATATACTCCCTCCCTCCGTAACTTTAGAATCTTCCCATTTCAAAAGTAGGTAGATTAAGAATAGTGAAAGATGATATGAATTATTGAGGGTATGATGGGAAAATAGTGGAATAATGTGGTGGAATGTAGGATAAATCCAAAAAAAGTAGTTGTAATAGTGTATTATTTTAAGAATTATTGAGCGTATGATGGGAAGATTTAGAAATGAGAAGATTTTTGTGTTACAAACGAAAAAGGAAAGTGAGAAGATTTTTAAGTTACGGAGGGAGTACATGGTTTATCTATCTATAGATCAGCAAAAACAGGTGGGATATAACTTACTTCTACAAAGAAGTTCACGATTTGACCTATACATATATCAAGAAAATAAACTTAGCATGAGGTAAATTTCATTGTTTCAACACTATTTAGTACTGTTTGACATTGTTTGCACTGTTTTGATGTAGATAACTTGTCATTTAAAGAAAGGAAACTTCTTTTTGGGACTGTTAAAAAAGGAAAGTGAAAACTTTTTTGCGGAGACGGAGGGAGTACGTAAGTGAATAAAAGTAAGAGCATTGTAAAACGGAGTATAAATTATAATTAAGAAACTTGAGCACGCCTCTTTATTAACGCAATAAGCCAATAATGGCATTGGCAGGAATAAGACAACGCTAAAGAAAATAAGAAATGGTCATTCATTCAAAACACCTCATGTAGTCATAATTTGGAATACTCCATTCGGTCATGTTCTTTGATTTATAATTTTCTCAGGGTATAGTGAATAAGTTATGAAGTACGATAGTACTTCGTATTATTTTTTGTAAATAAGAATAAATATGCTCACTGTTTGTTTATTGGTCTCTATAAATCTGTCACGCATATTAAGAATTAAGAAACATACACTAAGACTAGTGGATATAAAAAAAAGAATGATACTCCTCCGTTCCTATGTTATTGTCTCATTTCCTATTCACTTAATCAACACAAATCATTCTTAATCTCTTACTTTATGTATCCAATTTTTATCATTTTTCATTCTGGTTTTTGCGACTTTGTAAAGCTTTTAATGAAGTTTCTGAATATGTAATTTTTTTTCTAAAAATAATTTGAGTGCGAACAAAGATCCATTTATTTTATTGTCGGTCAAACATCGTAAATGGTAATGTGACAATAACAGAAGGATGGAGGTAGTAAATATTACGGAGTATACAAAAAGTACTTATGAAAGACAAGAAAAAAAGTGAAGAATTAAGACAATAAATAAAAGAAAATAAAAAAAAGTGGATGTTAATCGACAACTATATAAATGTGAAAGAAAAAAGTAAAACAACTTTTACATTAATGAATGATAAGAGAAAAATTTATACGTAGTAATTATAATAGAGAGCAGGAGTCATGTATATGACTGATCATCCATCTTTCTATCTAACTTATTGAGTGAGTCAATCTAAAAATAATTTTTTTGCCGAAGGTGACTTAATTAATAAGAATAACATTCAGTAAGGGTACAAGATAGTAAAAGAACCACAAGTAATCATCCGCTCATGGCCGAAACTGAGAGTTAACCATCTGTAAGAAATCAGTATAACTCGCTAGATCGAGATTGGACAACTTAAAGTCAATGACAATTACTGTAGAACTTTCAACACTCAAATCTAATGCAAGAGTCTTACAACGCATAAAGAAATAAAAGCAAGACAAAATGATGAATCCAAAGTAAAAATAAGCAAAGCAAAAGATAACAGTAACACCATCATTGAATTTCAGCACCATCAATAGCAAATAAATCCTCGGCGGGCCTAAGCAAGCTGACCCGCCGCCTCCCCATTTTTTGGTCCATCAAGAGCCATGCCTTCTCCAACTGCATCTCATGTGGCTTGATTATCCCAAATCCTTCTCCGCTTTGTATCTCCAGGGGCTTCCTCCCTTTCCTCTGTTTCTTCTGTTGTGGAACATTAGTCTTTGATTCAGCCGAAAGACCTTCCCTGAGATCAGCCTTCTGTTGCTTTCCATATCCACCTGAGCTAGACACCTCAATAGATAGCCATTTGTTGGATCCTGTCGGGCTAGTCTTCACTCTTCCACCAGCTCTGAGGTCTACCCCATAAGATTTTTCAACAACAAAACCTTCTTCATACTTTAAAGGGCAAAATTTGTCAGAATGTCCAATTATACCACATAGAAAACAAAAGTTGGGGAGCTTCTCATACTTGAAATCCACCCAATGCTGGATCCCTCTTTTTTCAAAGTAGTACCCTTTTTTCAAAGGCCTACGAACATCTAGGCACACCCTTATACGCAGATAAGAGTTATGATTATCATCATAATGACTCATCTCGAATTTGATGAATGAGCCTAAAAAATTGCCAATTTTCCTGGCAGACCCCAAATTTCTAAACTTAATAGGGGCATTATGGACCTGTACCCAGAAACTAGCTTCAAATAAATTCATAGACTCAGGAGTATCATCAGGCTGAACATCTTTCATCAGAATAAATCACGATCATAAAGCCAAGGACCATCTTCAAGCACACGATTCATATCCAAAACATGATTAAAGTTTAGCAGATACCTTTTTTCACCAATTTCCGTAATCGTCATACCTCTCCCTGGCTGCCAAAGCGAAGTCATCAGTTCCTGAAACCCCGACAGCTTGATTTTCCGATCGGTGACTACAACTCCAACCACCGGGAAGGTTTGTGCCTCGGCCTCCTCTTCTCCTTCCTCTGCCATCTCCTCATCGAAGTTGAGCTCGTTCTGCTTCTCTTCAATTGCCATTCTTTTGTACGAATTAACAATATCTTCCATCCAAAGAACCACTCGATCGAAACACCCTGCTATGACGCCCACCCGAGCCGAATCTGCCTTGCCTGCTCCGACAGTCACCGGCGGTTCCTTCCCCTCCCTGAAATCCGATCTTCGTCGGAACGAAATCGGAAGAAAAACCTAGCGGCCGCACCCTACGAAGTAATGAAGATTTGGAGAGAAACTCTTGGCTCTGTATTTGATTCCTTTTTTATCTAAAAATAATTAATTAAAGAATCGTTGGGTTTTAAATGGTAAATGAAACTATTTTAGAGAAATTAAAGTATTCTTATTTATAAAGACATGTTCATTGTTCTTTAGAGAACCCAATCCTTTTTCCAAGCAAGAGCCCACAAGTAAATACTACTCCCCCCGTATCTATTTACTTGTCTCACTTTCCCTTTAGGGACGCATAAAAAAATGTCTCATTCCATTTTTGGAAAGAAACTCACTCAAAAAGCAGCTACAGTACCGCTACAGTACCAAAAACCTCTTACTTTACATATAATTGTCTTAAACTACGTAAAAAGGTAAACGGGCCAAATAAATATATACGGAGGGAGTAGTATACTACAGAGTAACCCGCACGGTAGCTCAGTTGGTCGAGTGGTGGGAGTTTTGGATCAATGAACCAAGGTTCGAATCCCCGCAGCGACCGGGTGAAGGTTACACAACCTGAAATAAGGCTGGGTCTTTAGTGCGCACGGGTGTATGAGCTTACTACCACTTTGCTGACTGAGTCACCGGGCTAACCTCCCCACCATCCTGTATTCCTGTCGGGTCGGGGTGGGGGCTCCTGAGGTGGGAGATTCCACCTTTTGGATCAATAGTATATTAGTACTCGTATATACTACCGAGTAAATGCATCTATATTACAAAAAGTAATATATGGAGTACTTCTTTTCGTAAAGGCATGTTCACTTACTCTTGTGATCATATCCCATGGAGGATCCAAAGTTTTTTTCCTAGAAAGGTGCACGAGTAAGGGTGACAACGGACCAGTTTTAGTCTTAGTTATTCTGTTCTGGAAAATGAAAAAAATTATCCGAACAATGTTAATGTTTATAATACAACTAGTTGTTTGCACGCGCGTTGCACGGTCGTAAAAATGCCCAATGTATTTTTTGCTGAACTATAAGTGTATAACTATATAAGTATATTATATATTGATTTGATACGATTATTTCTCAGATTTGACATGAACATTAATAAGTGAAAATCATTGAATTCTTATTGGAAGGTTTGTAAAACACTACAAGTAGTCCAAGGTCATAGTAAAGTAATAAACCCTTATATTTATAATTTTATTACAAAACTAATACGGAGTAATAGCAAACTAAAAGAAGAAATAATAGAGGATGAAATAATTTCATTACAAGCCGAGTAAGTTGTGCTAGAATAAAGATGTTGTGACATTGTAATGGATGCCAAAAGGTGAAAGATGACTACGAATTGCAGGTGAAAATATTTAAAAATGACAAATAGAGACTCTACTACAAGAATGCATAAAGATTAGTAAATGATCTTTTTACTACAAGAGATGACTCCGCCAGTTTCATGACGACTTCTACCTGCACATGAGAGAATTAAAAAATCTGAGAATACATATAGAAACACTTCGTATATTATTATTATTATACCTTTCACAAAATCACATATATGATATATCACATATATCTTTAAGAATGAGATCATTATCATTCATCATTATCATTACCCCAGTGCCGCAAAGGCTCCCGCCTGCGATGGGGTAAGGGGGGTCGGACGTACGCAGTCTTACAACTGTACTACAGCACAGAGAGACTGTTTCCGGATTACCCATAGTGAAAATGGCGTCGAAAATTGCATTGGCTGACTGCTGCTTCATAACAAAGAAGTGCAAACAGTTTAGTGAATCATTTTGCTTTATTCCATCATACTCTGAAGTCAAAAAATAGTGAGTCTTTGGCTCCATTACAAATGATGGAAAAATCTTTAAGAATGAGATAATGCATTATCATTAATTTTTACTCTTTCATGAGTAAAAATACACTATGATTCCATTTGGGGACCATGTTTTTCGGCTTATCAACCTTATCAACTTATCAGCCAACCTTTTCATCAAACACTTGATTTTCGATCAGCCAGAACTTCATAAATTTCACCAGAATCAACTGATTCAATTAATTACAATGCTACCAAACAAGTTCTATGAATCGCTTAAGAATACAAATTGCTAATGAGCTATAATATGTTTTATCAATAGACTCCACTATAAGAAAACATGCATAAGGATTAGATTAAGTAAAAAATATTGCACTGAGAAGCAAATCAGGAAGCAAAAAGAACCAGGCATCATTGCACTATAAGAGTACATAAACTAAATTCCTTAAAATTAAAGAATATCTGTAGTACGCTTTTGAGAGAAGCATGACCCTCAGGAGTGTCAAACCATCGGTGACCAGGGAATACCGTACACATACAACTATACAAGTTGATAAAAGGGGATGAGAAAATAAAAAATCATACTTCGTACTTCTTAAATTGAAAATGTGAAATCAGAAATTAGATAGAGGTTAACCATTTATATATCCAAAATGTGAAAATATTAAGAAAATTGTATCCGATATAAGAAGCTGAAATTAAGAAGTTCTGAAGTCTCATTTTTAGCTTTTTAGAGAATCTTATATACCTAAGCACATGATTGTTAGGTCAAGTGTGAGATGGTAAAATCTAATACTTACAAGGTTTAATATTTTTTGCCTAAAATGCATGACGGTTCACATTAAGTAATTAAATAAGAAACATAAACCCAGAAACAATAACAAAAATAAGGATAGAATCATAGAAGAAGCACAAAGGTACTATCATGACCAATCTGCTTGGTTGCAGCCGCGACCTTCGCCCGAATGGTGATGATCAGATCCTCATAGCAGCCATCAGGGACAATAGGCTTCTTCACATGGGTGCCAGAGAGAACCACACACTCTTACGGTCTTACACCATTCAACTCTCCACTATATTGTCTTAATCTTTAATCAGCACCCCGCTCACAGGCAATAGTTCAACAAGAGTTCATTCTTACCGTACTGAGTATCCCTCCCCCCATCCAAGACTGCCTTAGTGCTTTTGGCTTTTATTCAGTGGTACCCTGGTCTCTCCGGATGATGTTATGTACTCGACATTTCGGCGATTCGCTTGGTACTACTTAAATGAGTAGCTCTTGAATATTTATACTATTTTTAGCACTTCAAATCCATATAACGAATTTATACTTCAATTAACTCTACAGTTACGTTGCAAGTGTCATATCTATCTATGAGTAATGACAATATGTTATATATAATTTTGCAACTGCTTAAGGTGACTTACTGCTAAGGTGTTAGTAAAAGATCACAGAGTAATCACAATAATATAAAAGAACTAAAATATTTTCATATTGGGATCTTTGTAAAAACTTAGCCATTGATATGAGCTCCCAATGAGTACAACTGTAGTGAAGAGGAATCCAAAATTGAAATGTATTCTTAAGTAATATCAACCATCACTAATAGTAAAACACAATAATTATAAAATTAGCAAAATAGGCAACAACTATGAACTAATCGCTTTTAAAAAATGAACTAACAACTGATGACAACATCCACAAGGTCAGAGCAAATGAACACACAACAATCGACATTTATGAATATGAACTCATTAACGGAAAACAAATCAACTACTCACAGCAATCCATTTAATCATTTACCAATAACTATGAATTATTATACCCATCAAAATGGAGTTAAAGAGGCGTACCAGAACGGAAGGAGGTGTGAAGGGGCTTGGCACTGGGCAGAGATAGGAATCGCAGCCTCGAAGTTGAAGGTACACAGAAGTGCACGCGGTGCTGCGGGGCAGCGGGTGCAGCGACGGCAGCGCACAGCACTGAGAAGGGACAGGGCGGCAGGAGGCTAAGCGTAGCTGCGTTGGCGGCTTGCAATTTGGCCGTTGGTGTGCGTTGATGAGTGACTCTATCCTCAGCAATCTGTTCGGCCGCTTGCTTAGAGCACCACATTCATTCTATAACCCAAAAAAAATGGCTAAGAATTACAAGCTTTGAAAAATCTGCACTGGTAGGTTCTCCACCACCCATAATTGTCGAATCATAAGAACTTGAAAGACGAAACCGGAGATCAATTGCAAGCTTGTTAAAATTGGGAATGGAAGGGGATCTCAATTGGAACCATTAATCGGAAGGGTATAATAAGCTCATACGCAGGGAGAAAAGCATTAGCAACAAACGGAATAGACGGAAATAATAACCGCTGAAGGTGACTATCAGAGACGGAAACAAAACGGAAAACAAAGCATATTAATAAAAAGTACAAAAGATAAAGGCCAGTGTGCAACTCCATTCAGCACTACTATTACACCAACACATTTTTCATACCTAAAATGTCCTTACCTTCATTGGTGTTTATAAGATTTTAGATAAATGTGATTTTCAAAAGAAAAACAACAATGATACCTCAATTGTGCAATTGGTACCTAGATGGCTAGATTAGTGTTATCTCTCTAATATCATATTTTCTCTAACATATTTTCTAACATATTTAGAAAATTCAATCTGTGCACATCTGTGCTCACATTTTATGCACTTCATGTATATTTTGCCTGTGACAAGTAAAAAATGTAGTCGGTTAGTATTTAAGGGGTGTGACACAAGAAATAAGTCTCGCCTTCGATTTCTAACAATTATGATGAAAGTGTTACCATAACGGTGCCAATAAAAATGACATTAAAAAAAGGTAACAATGCATATGCCACTTGCTATCTATCACTATAATTATCTCATTTTTCCTTTTATGTCTCTCTCACTAAATTTGTCTCATATCATATTTGATATTCATAATATTTAAGTGGCTACAAATCATTTTTACTTTATTCTTACTTTATCAATTCATTATCAATCATATAATTCTACTTTTTTAAAATTACTCCACACTCTTTTGTCTTAATCTTTAGATGAATGGAAATAGTAATTTACACCTTTCTAATAGCTGTTTGACATTAACAGTCACGGAAGGCCACTCAAGAATGAGGTGTCATCTTACTTTCAAAAAAAATATAACGATGCAGATGAAATATAGAGACGTGTACAAAACTTAAGAATTTTCAGACAAATTTCGCCCATCCCCATTTCATTAACCAAATACAGTACAGAAACATGGTAAAGAGATGACTCCACATGACATACAGACCCTACTAGTCCACATTCCACAATAATAAAACGGTGTGACCTCAATCAATACGGTCAAAGGTTAGGGGTCGAGCCTCCTTTGTGCCTCGCGCCCAACGCACCACCCGTCAAATACACATTAATTACTTACTTAACTACAAACACTGATCCATAAGAATAATGATTAATTCATAATAATACGGACCACTAATAATAATCACGAATTAAAGACAGCAAATCAGCTAGAAGCCTAGAGCTGTCCACAAGAATGAGCGAGATAAGCCAAGGCTCCGACAAGTGGCGCGTTGATGTAAGTGGACGGCTCCGATTGCTCGTAATCCGACCGTTGATCCGGGAAATGATCGTGCTGGTCCGGCCCGCCCACGACCGCCCCCACATGAACATTGGGATTCGGTGCGCTGGAGCTCATCACACTGAACCCCACGTCGCACTGAATCTTGGCCGGGTGCACAGCGACGGAAGGCAGTGAGGATCCCCTGTGGTGGATCCTCAGCGGGTACCGTGCGCCATACCCGACCATGTACGACATCCTCAGCGGGTTGTCGCCCAGCAAGTAGTCCACCTGCTTGCGGGCGACAGCCTTGAGGTTCCTCGGGGTGACAATGACACCCCCGCAGTTGACGAAGGTGCGGGCGGAGGTGAGGTACTTGGCGTAGGTGAGGAGGAGGAAGGCGGTGGAGGTGACGTACTGCATGTTGGTGTCGCTCATCTTGTAGAGGAGGCCGGCGGGGGTGTACTGGGCCTGGGAGAGGGGGGTGCCGGGGATGAGCGAGCAGATGTAGTTGTCGGCGTGGGCCTTGTAGTCGTGGAGGGTCTGGATCCTCTGAACCAGGAATGATTTGGAGAGAAGGATTCGGGCTCCGACGTGTTTGTTGTCCCACCCGAAGGTGTTGTCGGTCTCCCCTGCCCCCAGGGTCTGCCCGTTGCGCTGAATGTAGTTCAGGTACACCGGGTTCCTTGTGGCCTTGTGCAGCCATGCAGCTCCCCACAATAGCTCATCCTGCAATCATTGTTTTATCCGCCAGATGTTCAAGAATTGATGGAATGCACATAAAGAAGATTCATGGAGGAAGATTAAGCATGAATTTAATCATCTAATTGCAAAAAATAATATAAGTAGTGTTTAGATCTGCTTCTCAAAAATCCAGAAATACTCTTCTGAATGCTCAAAATTGCATCAAGCAGTTTTTTCGAAAGATATGAGTCAAAATTGCTAGCAGTTTTCCAAAAGTTAGGAGTCAAAATTGCTCCTAGAAGGAGTTTTTCTAAAGGTAAGAGATACAAACTGATTCTAATATTTTACTACGTAACAAAGAAGCGAAAGCAAAATCAATTTCAAACACCCTTAAATTACGCAACTTAGAAAACTAGATGACGTAATTTTCAGTTTACACAAAAAAAATTGATTATTCCTTTTTACTGATAAAGATTTTGTAGGTATTTGGAGTACATAAATACAATTGAAAGTTTCTTTCTTTAAAAAAGGTTTTGCTGCTGATAGTATTTCTTTCTATTCTCATCCTGCTAATTATGAAAACAACAATCAGTAATAGTGTACTAGTGTGGTACTTTATCTTCCCAAATAAGATTCCCCATTATTTTCAGACAATGATTAAGAAAAATGGAGTACTGTTTTGTACAGTATGATTGAAACAGCTAATTTTGAATGGATAAAGAAGGGGAAAAAAGATTAAATTGAGTATTAATTCTTCCATCAGCACGTGGCACTCTTAACTTTAACTCCTTCCTTATTTTATTACTTCAAACATAGTCCTTATTAGATATGGAGTTGTACTTGGTTGTTTAATCAGTTCTAGCTTTGCTGTGCTTCACTCTCTTTTTGTATTCTTTATTCAACTTTTTCAATTTTTAATCTTTTATGTTGTCCTTCACATACACTCTGCTAGTCTGCTACTTTTTACAGTACATTTTTTGCACTATTAACTACTCCCAACTTTTTTAATTAAAATTCCCAGAGAATCTCAACTTTAAAGTTAATCTCAACTTTAAAGTTACTCCGTATAAAACAAGGGCTATTGATTTTAGTCTTTCACTATTTACCATATTTGAATAGATGCAAGTGTTGCAATTTACATATTTCCATCAAAAACCAACTCCACTCTATGATTAAATTATGTTCTCAATTATGTAATCTGTATCCAATTTAGAAACATCTGTACAACGAATTTCACTTACTAAATATACTAAATTCTTCATAAGGAATGCTTCAGCCAGTCTAAGTATGACTATATCCCCAAAAATGGAGATGCAGGGAAGTGTGTTCTTACCTCATATCCAGAGAAGGAACAGTAGAAGGGGCACACATCTTTTTTCAACCCATCGCTGTAAGAGCCTCTGTACTTATCGGCGAAAGCAAACACTCTTATGGCCCTCCGGGCGAGGATCTTGGAGTATGAAGGGTCACACCTTCTAAACACCAAAGATGCAGCGGCCAAAGCGGCAGCAGTTTCGGCAGCAACCTCCGTCCCGGGGTTGTTCTTGTCAACCTTGAATACACTCCTCGGGGTGTCCATATCCTCCGGCCTCTCCCAGCAAGCATGGTCTTTGTTTGCATCTCCCACCTGGACGTAGATGGTGTCGGGATAAGCGGTTGCCTTCAGGAGATAATCAGTGGCCCAGCGAATGGCTTGTCTTGCATTTTGGAGCTCCCCTTTCATGAGGCCGCCAAACTCTAGCACACTCCATGACAGCATTGTGGTTGTGAATGCCATTGGGAAGCCAAACTTGACATTGTCCCCTGCATCATAGTACCCTCCAACCAAATCAACCTGCATTTTATTCTCAGGGGTTTAGAATCAACCTTAATTTTAACCAACTGAACATCCATGCCTGATGCCCAGCCAGATATCTTTTCTGAATCTTTTGTTTGGCATAAAGACTGTTTAAGAGCGGGATGATTTGTTGAAATAAATGGAGTAGAACATATATACCATTCAGTTTCACAAAAAAATCTTTTAGTCCTTTAGAGCAAATATACTCATGAATTATATGCTTTAGAAAAAAAGTGATGAATTGTGGGTTCTTTAATGTATAGTTCTGGAATATATTGTTTCAAGTTTCCACCTTTATAACCTTTTGTTTTGAATTATTTCAAATTTTCAAAAGAAAATCAAAGGCTATATTCTCTGACATGCATAACATATTACAGACATTTGTTCCTTCTTCATTAACTGCCTAAGACTAGCATAACATATTACAGACATTTGTTCCTTTTTCATTAACTGCCTAAGACTAGCATAACATAATACAGACATTTGTTCCTTCTTCATTAACTGCCTAAGACTACATAAAGACTATTCTTTGCAAAGGCCATAACATTTCATTTGGACTGTGCAGTTCTTGTTATCATTAACATCTAACATTGTAACAAGTCAATTGGACAGCAATTTTCTTTAGATAATAATGGTAAGAGCATCCAAGGAAGAGAAAAGGTTAGCAGTATATTATTGCTTTTCTTTAATGATTAAAAATGTTTGAACTTAAAAGGGCAATGCAGTACTTTTACACAGCCTTGGCCCTTTTCCTGTCATTACTCATTATCCATTCTGGTTATCCTCATTTACATCCTGTGGGCAAAACATTTTTTAAACCCCACATATCTCACAAAATACCATTCCAACCATGTAATTTTCACTACAGGGACTGAGCAAACCCTTCAACATTACTCCCAAATTAACACATCTAAAAGCCCATTCTTTTTTCTGGCAAAAAAACAAAACCATTTTCCGAAATATGATTTTTTATTTCAAAACAAAAAATTCACGACTAGTCGACTACCATTGGGTCTAAATTTCAAAATCCAAACTCATCTGAAAAGGGGGATGGCGAAATCAACGAGAAAGAGAGGAATGTGGCTTACACGCGCGGCAGAGCCGTCGGAAAGGCCGGAGTTTCTCCTCCAGGTGACTCTCTGGTTAGGGGGGAGTTTACCGGACCTCTGACCCTCGTAGTAGAGGATGGACTTAGTGAGGGCGTCTCTGTAGTTGTGAGAGGCAGACTGGGGGTGGGGGTGGGGGTGGGGGTGACGGCTGCCGTATGTGGGGTAAGCATTGGAAGGAAAAAGTGGAGCGGCGAGGACGCAGAGGAAAAGGAGGGAGGAAGTTAAAGAAGACGCCATTGTTGGTTTGGGGAAGAAGAAGCGACCCAGCTAGCCAACCGATTACCTGCAAGCCGGACCGGGGAGAAAAGATACTCCTCTGTTCGTATTTATAGAGTGGTCAACTGCTGTGTAACGTCCTCCTCACTAGTCAGCCTTACTGTAAAGGTGGGAAATGAATATAATTTTTTTTTTAAAATATCACTAACAAAAAAATTATGGACAAAAATATAAACATAATTTTTCATGAGTAAGTTTTAGAGGTCCTTCGGTAACACTATTTTTCGGCTTATCGGACTTATCAACCAACTTTTTTAACAAATACGTAACTTTTGCTTTCATACGCTAAATTGTGTAATAACTAGAAAAAGTAAAGTTGAAGTTACTTTTTTTGCTATATTGCTAAAATTACTGTAGATGACCATTATAGCTATTTTAACATATAATTTTTTCTTTATTTTATTAAAAAAATATATTTAAAAAGAATTTTTTCTTAAATCAGCAGAATCAGCCAATGTAGGCACTTCAGCCAGAACTTCATATATTTCATCAGAATCAGTCAAATCACCCGATTTCAGTGCTACTAAATGGACTCTTATAGTTCTTACGATGTAACATTTGAATGTAATTATACTTAGAGTTCTTACGATGTAACATTTGAATGTAATTATACTTACTAAAATTACAAGAGTCACATTTCTGTGCACAAATTTTATTTTGATTATATGTTTAGAATTATTTAAATTGGTATAAGTTGAGATTATTGTTTTAAATTTATCATACTTTAAATGTATTAAGTGGTGTTTGGATTAATTTTTTTAAAACTGTTTAGCTCCTTCAAAGAGAAGAAAGAGACATTGGTGTTTGGATAAAAGTGCAAAATACTTCTATTTGCTCTTAATTTGTTCATAGAAACAATTTTTTTGAAGTTAGAGGAGACCAACTTCCAATTCAAATTTTGTTTCCGCTTTAAAAAATAGAATCAATTCCAAACAATCCTTAAGATATTTATATCATCTTTGGTAGTTCTCATTTTGTACCTTTGTCGCCCAACTTTTCATCAAATATAAATCGTAGTTTTACCTTTTCAATTATTTTATTAGTAGTTATATCAAACCAAAACAAAACACATAAAATGGGACAAATGTAGTACGGAATCTATTATTTTCCCACATCAAAAAGTAAGTGAAAGCATCTACTTCCATTCTAACTTTTGGCTTAAAGTGGTTTAAATTAAAGAAGAGGTTCATATTTGAAAACACTTTTTTAGATTTTCCAAAGATATAAAGTTAAAGAAAGTGTTTTTAGAGAATGTTTGGATCTAAGTTTTAAAATTCTTTCTTCGAGGAGTATAACTTATAAGTAGCTAGTCACCTAATGACATCTTGTACTTTTACACAAGAAAGTGAAGAAACACAAGACGAATCAATTCTGTTTCACACAGAATGGCGGGTTACGATTCCTGGTCAATATTTCAATTTTTTCACTATTATATTCCACAAAATAATCTACAAATGCAGATAAGGAGAACCAATTCCAAATACCACCATAGATAGCATAAACTCCAAAACCTATTTATCCTAGTAGTCTACAACCAACAGGCTCTGTTCTTTTTCAACCCCGTATCTAGATTACATGTGTTCTATACTTCTATATATACGTAAATAATAATGTTGGTTTACCTTTTCAGGCAATGCTAGAAAAGTGGTCCTCAAGGTAACTTTTATTCTATTTGTTTTGATGTTAATGTAACTTTCATCTGTTTTAAATATTTAATTTTAATGCTAGAAAAGTGGCACGTCAGGACAAATATGGTAGGTATACTTATTCTTCTTTTCACTGTCTTTTACTCTTATTACGGAGTAAATGTTTCTATACTTAAAATAATTATACTGTATGTAAATTATACGGAGTATGGAGACTTCATTTTTACCTTTTTGAGAAGTCTCAATAAAACTGTCATATACTTATATTGGTCAAATTTGTGCGACTCTAAATCATTTTTACTTTATTTTTATTTTATCAACTCATATTAACCACATAAATTCACATTTCTTAGTAACAATGAGTGGAACTGAGGTCTACTCAACTAATTGGATGCATGTGCAAAGTGCAAACACCTTGCACCACTCTCTCATGTGTGACATCTTCATCTGTCCATATTTTGTTTGGTATTACCAAATTCAAAAGATTTAAGGTGGCATTTTATCAGATAACAATCAATGAAAATAAGTTCAACCAAGAATGGATTTAGCAGTTTGGCAACACTCAGCATTCACAAAACCTTATCAATAATGATTTGATTCATCAATTCTTAATACACCATTATACTGTCAAGTCCGTTAGATAATGTTTGTATTCCTAATACTACATGTCGAACAAATGATGAAAACCCTCATAATGTACTCGTTTCCATTTTCAGATAAGAGGCATTTCAACTTCGTCCATTCCTATTGATAGAGTATTAATTCTAGAGAGAAGTGAGAGCTAGAGAGAGAAAGTGAGTAATTATATTTCTCAACTTGCAATCCCCTATAATTAGCCCCTTGGGGTCTATTTATAGGTAAAAATGTGGATTTGGGCCCCTAGCCTTGGGCTTAGGAGGCCCATTACAATAATCATGCCTTCTTTGGGCGAATAAGGCCACTAATGGGCTGAGTACAACACTTAGTACAAAAAATAGGAAAATACATTCTGCCCGGACGAAGTCCGGACGAAGCGGTCCATGGACGATGCGGTCCATGGACGATGCGGTCCCTGGACGATGCGGTCCATGGACGACGCGGTCCATGGACGATGCGGTCCATGGACGATGCGGTCCATAGAAATCAGGCGATATCTTCTCTCTTGGACGCTACGTGCCTCTGGACGATGCGGGTGTCCCGCTGGTGTCTTTTGGGCCGTTGAGTATGTGGGCCATGGGGTCCAGGCCCATATACTCTATCAGGAGTCCCCCACTCTCTGAGCTGAGGTGAAACCGAAGCGAAAGGGAGTACTTGTTCCTTTCTGGCTGGCCGTTGCGTGAGTTTAAGGCGTTTGATGGCCGAAGAGTTCCTGCTTTGATTTTGGACGAAGCGGTTCCTTTATTTGATGTAGATGAAGCGTGCTTGGGAACTTATAGCCTTGATGCGGGCCGATGCACACTCTGTGGAAGTGCCTTTGAAGACGAGGCGATGCGCTTTCTTCTTTTTTTGTAAATGTGATGAATTTTGGTGTGGACAAGTTGACATGCTTTTATTGTCATCTTGTTGTGGTTGAAGAGCTCCCATCTATCCTTTTGGCCGTAGCGAAGACCTATTTTCATGAGATGAAGATGGTTGATTCTGTTTATGTAGACGATGCGATGCGCACCTTTGTTTTGTTATGCGGCCGAAGCGTTTTGACTTGTGAGTTTTTGTTATGGTGAGACGATGCGGCCCTCTCAGTGTACGCCGCCGTTGCGTGTTAGATTTTGCATCCTGGGTGTTTGGGCGCTGATGGCCGATGCGACTCGCGATGTTCTTGAGGCAGCTGATGCGATTCTTCATGCTTATTTGAGGCGAATTGTCCATTTTTTGTTGTTGGTGAGTCGTAGCGCATCCTTTTTGCATTAAGGCCGTTGCGTTTTCTTTCCTTGTGGCCGATGCAGTCCCCCAGTCCCCCACTCCTTTGGCCGAAGAGCATCTAAGGCACAAGGGAGTAATCAGTCGTTTCGGTACCTACGCGTTAGTCGCGACTCCAACCCTTAGGCGAACCTGTCCAAGGTAACCCTGTGGGAGAACCCTTGGACGAGGGCCGCAATGCCAGGGCTATCATCGACGACGCGCGCGCTAGTGGCCTTAGCGGTCTGCTTAAGATTTTGTGAGGATGTAGAGTTTAAGCCGATGTGTTCCCCTTTATCGGAAGTGTGGGCTGATGCCCGCTTTGGAACCTTGTAGTAGTTGGTCCGTAGCGGTATTCAGCCGATGCCTTGTTCTTTGTAAGGTTGATTTGGGCCGTAGGGATGCCTGTTTGAGTAATTCTGAATTGGTGTCCCTTGATTGGTAGGGAGAGAGGTGGCCGTTGGTGGAGCCAATGGGGGGGCGCCACGTGTAGTGACCGTTGGAAGTTTTCTATAAATACCCCCTATTCCGTAGCCGCTACCCCATTTGCGTTTGCTAGAGTTGAAGTGCTGCTGAGATTTCTAGAGAGATAAAGTGCTTCCCAGAAATCTTCAAGTGTTCTTCGGATCTTCACCCACTCCAAGGTTAGGTTCTTGAATTGTTCTCCCTTTTTTTCTTTATACTTTGCTTCCTAGGGGGTTAGATCTAGTGTTTCTAGGAAAAATCACTTTGATCCTCGAACAACCCTTAGGACGTAGCATAGTTGTTATGCCGTTCCCTGACGGCCGTAGCGTCCCCTCCCCTCTTAACTTAACAGCTTCTTTAGACGAGTCGGACTGGCCTTTTGACGACGAGGACCCGTCTCCTGGAGTGAATCTTGAGATAGTTCGAGCGTTTGAAACAGAGATGGAGAATACTGCCGATTACCGCACTTCTCAGGACGAGGAGCGTCTGAATGATGATGCGGGTTCCCAACAATCGGGCGAGGACGAGGCGAGCTCGGAACCCAAGCTTCGGGGAGACGAAGCGGGTGATGCCTCTTCGGCCGCCATCCCCTGCCCTCCACCTATTTCGTCTGTGCCAGGCGGGGCGTCGTCTTCTAGGGTTACCAAGAAACGCGCGTCGCGTCGGAGGAAAGCTGCGCTGGCGGGCTGTCCCAATTGGACTTGACCAATCTGTATGTTATAAGGCCCGAGAGCACCCGAGGTGATTATCATTTGGCTCAGCTGTATGTTGGGCCTTATGGAAAGGTGAGGGAGCCTAGGCCGACGGACCATGTTCTGGATCCTCCTCCTGGGTACTTCGGGGTTTATCCGATGGCGTTCTCGCAAGGACTACGATTCCCGCTGCCCCCTTTTGTGATTGAGTACTTGAGGATGGTAGACCTCCCCCCGGCGCTGTTGACGCCGAATAGTTTCTCACTGATCGTTGGGTTCCTCATCCGATGCGACGAGCTGGGTTTTGAGCCTACGACGGCCCTTTTTACAAATTTGTTCCGGATCGGCCGAGGGAGCCATAAGAATTGTGCTGGTTATG